TATATATATATATATATATATATATATATATATATATATATATATATATATATTTATATCTTTCCAATATTTCGCACTATCGCGATATATATATATATATATATATATATATATATATATATATATATATATATATATATAATGTACATGTGCTCTATTTATATATTATAACTTAACAAATAGAAATATATTTTAAGATATTTATGAACAAATAGAAATATATTTTAATAACCACAATTTGTAATATAAACTTATATAAGTTGTGTATATTGCATATGTAGGTATCTTTATAATAATTAAGAACCTTAATATAATCCAAACTATCATCTCACCTTTGGGCTTTTGGCTGTTATTTTCCTTGCAGGTAAAACATCATTCGTCACATTGTACGCTCCTGGACCAGGCACGTCCGACAGTACGTCATCAAACCTCTTGGAGCGATTCTGAAGGCTGTTCCCTCCCAAAACATGATTCTGCAATATTACACTCATGAGCTTGCACTTGCCTCTGACTTTTTAACAGATTGCACACTGATGTTAATGCCTGCTAACGTACCCTGGTAATGTCAGAGTTGTACTGTCCTGGACCAGGAGAGTGTAGAGCACTGGCTGACCCCAGAAACCCAGAATCTCTGATGGACAGAGACAGGAATGGAGCATATGAACCTAATAACGTGTAAAAAAAAAAAAAAAAAAAAAAAATCAATTAATCATATTTTTTTAAAGCTTAGATTCTAATATTTATTAATAAAAAACATAATTCTGACCCTGACTTCGTTCAAAGTTCAGACTATTGTGATATAAATGTTTGCAAAATAAGCTATAACATTCAATTAAAAGATGCCTCATTGCCTCGTTTAAATATAAACATGCTTGACAATGTATAATAGAATAAAATGCTTAAAATACTTAACACAATCAATCTATTGAGGAAATGCAATCATATTTATTTGTTTTACCCTATTTGAGTCTTAGTTCTGCAAGTTAAATAAGTACATTATCTCCTAAGGGGAAATGTATTTGGAATTCTCTAATGCAGTGGTTCTCAAACTGTGGTACATATACCACGAGTGGTACGCGGGCTTCCTTCTAGTGGTACACAGAGGAATCAATTATGTCATACATGTATGTCATACATGCTACATATATTTTAAATTTATCAAAAATGATTTACATATAAATATGATGACATATAGCCTATATTTCTAAGGTCCAGGCAATATTTCCAGGTGTTTAAGTACAGCAGTTTATTTTTACTTTTTAAGAACAGTAACCTACCATTTTTAATAGCACAATTTAATTTAAACGTTGACGTTTTTAGTTTTTTGCTGGTTTTTTTTTTTTTTTTTTTTACATATAAGCACAGTGCAGTGTTAATGTTCAAACTATTTATAATGTTTAAAGTGGCTGACAATAATAAATATTCTTAATAAAAGGAATTAATCTGCCACATGTGCAGAGCTGTAGCTGCTTTACTGGGCCTAATACGCTACTGTATTTCAATACTGCTCATTATGGTAGTACTTGGAGAGACTATTTTTTTCTGAGGTGGTACTTAATGAAAAAGGTTTGAGAACCACTGCTCTAATAGATTCATTCATTCATTTTCTTTCGGCTTAGTCTTTGATTTATCACAGGTCGCCACAGCGGAGTGAACCACCAACTATTCCGGCATGTTTTACGCACAGAATGCTCTTCCAGCACTGGGAAACACCCATACAAACTCATTCATACTGGCACTTGTACACTACGGCCAATCTAGTTAATCTAATTACCCTATCCGCTTGTTAAGTCTGACGTCACGCGTGACGTTCTAGCCATTTCCGGGTCCAAACGCATTCGCGGCTAATTTCAAAACAGCAATGGCAGAGCCTGTAAATCTGTTTACGATAACTTCTTTCTTTAACGACGCGCCACTAAGAGTTAAAAAGGGCCTGAATTCTTTCAATTCCAATCCGCTTGTTAAGTGTGACGTCACGTGGAGCGGCTTCTGGGTCCAAGCGCTCTATTCAACTGAATGGAGAGATTCATGAAATGGTAATAATAAACGTTTACAAAGCGATTTAATACTTTCGAAAATCACGATTGCAATATATATGTCCATGCCTAATATCCAATGGCCAGAAAGTTTATTTATTTTAAAATAGTTACATTTTTGGTATTTGTTATGCAGCAAGCCCAGAGCTTGTTGTGTACACTATGACTTTATGTAAAAATAACTTTAATGTGTGATATGAATAAAAAGTGATCATAAACGAATGATTTTTCAACTCAAATGAATGGCGGCTTGGACCCGGAAACAGTATTACATACGTCACAAATACGTCACCACTTAACAAGCGGAGGGAGTGGGAAGTGTGATCAGGGGTATGTTGCTGACGTTTTGTTAGAAGGTATTCATATTATCAACAAGAGGTTAGTAATCACTTCTACTAAATTACTATCTTAGCCGTGTGTGTGTGTGAGTGTATATGTATGTATGTATACACGTATGTGATATATGTATATATATATATATATATATATATATATATATATATATATATATATATATATATATATATATATATATATATATATATATATATATATATATATATATATATATATATATATATATATATATATATATATATATATATATATATATATATATATATATATATATATATATATATATATATATATATATATATATATATATATATATATATATATATATATATATATATATATATATATATATATATATATATATATATACACACACACACATATATATACATACATATATATATATATGGTCAATTCCATGAAAATGTCAACCTTATCATGAAAAAATAAACTTTTGACCAAAATAACAAAACCTATTTAAATTTGCTCATTAAGGTCTATATTTTATTGTAATGATGTGCTCTTGTTGAATTTTTAAGGAAATTGGTTTGTTTATCCATGAAATATGAGGATTGTGCCAATGGTAAATTTCATTATAATCCAACCACATTTCGTGCTTTAGAAAAAGGGATTAAAGACTCACCTTTACCATGCTTTATGTTAACAGTAATCATTCTGCAGAAGGATTGGAGTCTGTAGTATAAATAATTACTCTTACTTTTTCATAACATTACTGCCCTTTTGATTTATGAGCTACATATTTAAGACATCACGCAGCTTCGGTCACGTGTCACGTCCGTAACGATTTAATAAAAAAGTTTATATTGTGGAATAAATATTATAACAAATAAAATGAAACTTTGTATACAAAGCCAAAATATGTCCATACTAATTATGATCGCCAACTCATCTCAGGTCTTTGCTTTAAACAACTACAATTTTGCGTTACGGACGTGACCATTTTTGAACTCCTTATTAATATAAGCCAATGACTAGCGCATATTTGTTCATTATGATGCTGCATTACAATTACTGACTTACATTACATAACATCCATATGTTATATCAAGAACTGAACATTTCAGTTAGCTATAAACCATTTAGTAACATTTCAAAAATAAATGTTTAATAAAGAGAACAACATTTTACATATTGCCATAATCTTGGCGCATAATCTTGGTGTTTTGGCGATGCAGCACCTTGTGTTGAAGCACTTCTTGTTTCTTTTGTAGATAGGGTAACAGACCGTCAAATAATAGATCAAATAGTTAAGATACAATTTATGCCAAACTAGGAATGCTGATTTCGATTCATGTTGCCAATCAACAACCGCTCGTTAAGCGATATTAACCGTTAACAGATTAATATAAAAATATTATTTAATAAAAAAAATTGACGTGCCTATTTTGTCTGACACATTAAATATTGAATTTAAAATATTGATTTAGGTTATTTTAACATGCAAACAGCATACAAAAGGAGCATCTTCACGCACCTGCAGTGTTTTTTAGCAGCACAGAATAACTGAATAAACTAACAAAAATAATAAAATAAATTCTGCTCTAAACCTTTTTACTTAAATGACAAATTAAGATTACAAAACGAAAACATTGACTGAATGCTTTTTAAGAATCGGCATAGACTGTTTGTCCAATCGTGTTTTTTTTTCTTCCGTCAATTAAAAAATATTAGGCTAGCTCAAATAGATTGCTTTACGGAAAAAATGCATTCAATTAATGCTCCGCTGTTATAATATTACAAAACCTGTCAACATTTTTAATAGAGGTCATTAGTTTAAAGATTATGTCTTAATTATGATTTATTAACCTATTTCCTCTGTCTTACTTGCGGTTCATGTGCGCGCGCGCTGAGTATAGTGAAAGATAATGACAATGAACCATAAGGCTTTGAACCTATACTTTTTGTTAAATATAGGCTAAGGATATAACAATTTTGTTATTTACATATGATACTGTATTAATTTGCATACATGTTTTATAAGCTGTAAAATGAAAGCATCAGTTTGGTGCGAAGTTATCCTAAAATATTTGGCTTTGTTTGATTTGTAGATTAGGCTATGTAGGCTATTTAAAAATGTATATAAGAACTAATAATAACTGTTATTTTCCAAATGGAAAAAAAATGGTTTGTTGGTTAGTCTGCATTAAATCATATACCTAGTTGAGTTTATGACGCGGCTCCAGGCTGCACAGACGACCAGCATCAGCGCTGGTTCGTCAACTCCTGTGTCAAACTGTGGGCAGAATATCCTTCTTTCATTTAGCTTCTTTGGCAAAATACATCTGTAAGCACGTGTGTTTGCACGTGTTACTGTTCTGCGAGTTAACAAATATGTGTTGCTCATAGAGGCCGATCACAACGAACGCACTTTTTCATTCCAGAGACGTGAGGCGCTCCGCAATGCATTTTAAATTGACAAGAAAAAAAGGAGCACGGTGCTCTTTGGTATGTCACTTTTGGTAACAACTGAATCAGCTGGTCTATTGTGCGCTAATGTTGCTGTCAATGTTGTCATAATTTAATTTTTAAAATAATATTATGAAATTCAAGATTTGTAAAGTCATACAACTTTGGATGACTTAAAAGAGCGATCACAAGTCTCTACTCCGTTATTAAAAAGTTCGCCGTATCTTGACAACACACTTTGTCACCTCAAAGGAAACCCCGCCTCTGCTTTCATTTGATTGAAGAATGAAAGACGCCACTGAGGTAACATGCTTTTCCTCTGGAGCTCACAAAGCGGGCAATGGCAAAACGCGAGGCGCGCATGCAGGGCGCAAAATCAATAACCTCCATGCATTTGGTCTTTTCCCATTGCTCAAAATGCGCACGCCGTGGGTCTTGCTGCAGGCACTTGCACAGGCCACAGCGGAGTTTTCATTTCATGCAGAGCATAAATATGTTTTTTTATTTTATTAATTAAATAACTATTTATAAAGATAAATTATCATAGCGACACAATTAATTTTCCAAGCCCTTTATCCAAAATCTAAGCACTTTCAAAGCTGGAAAATAGGCTATAGCCTACATTAAAATGAAAACATTTTCAAAGATTTCAAGCACCCGGCAAATGTGCTTGAGTGCTTATTAAAATTATTTTACAGGCGGCAAAATAAGAATAAAATCTTGATATTGATCTAAGCTTTAACTACATTATTTAATTTGTTAGTAAATCGATAGCACCTGCAGTTGTAATGTCATACAATATTTTACACAATCGGTTATAAACTATAGCCTAAAAATATAAACATTATAGTCATCCATCGTACATGCCTGCAATTAATGGCTATTTTTCACAAAACCTTTCATAATAAAGTTTTCTCTCTCATCCTGGTCCTCTGTTTAAATTTTTTCAACCTGTCCTGAAGTGACTGCCGACGAGAAAAAGAAAGCAAGCGCGAGTGGACAAATTAAGCTATTTATTCAATCGACTAACACATTAACTAGAACAAACTAAAATAAACTTTGTCAAATATAATTTTGCCATAACTGTGACACAACTAGATTTTGAATATTCGCCACGTAGACACGGTCTTGCGCACTAACAGTCGGGCAATGATTCAATTCAAGTTTGTCTGGAAAGGAGCCCGATAAACATAGGCCTATTATAGCTGATTATGTTTATTATTAATTCTATATTATTCAGAGAATAAAAGCACCATGTTAGCATGCACCACTGTTTACGAATTGAGTTTTGAACATTCGAACGTGCGTTAACCTTTAACAACACACATGCCATAATACGAATTAAATATAACAAGGTGATATCTATTAAAGTTTGATTAATTGTGCAACCTTACCATTCAGATGTCTCAGAGGTTAAAGTTTATTGGTTTACACACCCAACAGATATCCACAAATAGGTCTTTTGTCAAGTTTTGAAAGCATTTATCTGATTTTCATAATGTGTCAACTGTCAATTTCAGAGCAGTCACGTCCGTAACGAAGACAAGTCACGTCCGTAACGATAGTTTTCCCTCATTAATGCAAAAATGAATAACTAAATTAAATGAATTATAAATGTCCCATGCAGAGCCAACCCTTATCCTTTTGACTGTTATAAACATTTTTGGCTTCTGCATTTTTATTCACAGAATTTTAACCAAGTATGTCAACTCACAAAACTCATGTCTTTTTTTTGTCACGTCCGTAACGCATTCATTTTGCCGTCATTTTAAATATAAAACACCTGCATAGACTGATATTTTTTTGATGCCTGAACTCCATGGTTAAGGGGTAATAAAAATATAAAAAGATATTTCAATATTCTGTTAACATATACATTCTCCGAGTATATAGGTTTCATTTTTTTTCTGCAAATGTCACGTCCATAACGCTGGAATCAGCCATATATATATATATATATACATATATATATATATATATATATATACATATATATATACATATATACACACATAT